TTTAAAATTGCGAGTGTAGGCCATTCTATGAGTAGAATAGAACTTCTGTAAGACCACCATAGGCCAGGTATTACTTGGTTGGTTATAGACTTGTACTTGTAAAACCGCCTAACACGCTACCGCCAATGTCTCTGTGCTGGTTCCCCCCAGAAAAAATATCAAGTCAGTGGTGGTCTGTTTTCTACGGAGCCCCGCTGATGACATTCTGTATAAATAAAAATAATGCATGGCCACAACTTAGTAAGGAGTGGGAACAAGACAATTAAGTTGTGGCCACGACTTAGTAAGGCATGGGAATGAGATCCTCATGCATGGCCACAACTTAGTAAGGCGTGGTAATGAGATCCTAATGCTTGGCCACGACTTAGTAAGGCGTGGGAATGAGATTCTGATGTGTGGCCACGGGTTAGCAAGACATGATCTTGGTCCCACGCCTTACTAAGCTGTGGCCACGACTTAATTATCTTGTTCCTACACCTTACTAAGTTGTGGCCACGCATTGGGATTTTATCCCCAGGCCTTACTAAGTCGCGGCCACGCATTATTTTAATTTATACGGAATGTCACCATCAGGACAAAGCATGTAAGTACCCAATAAACAGGCAAGTTACAAAAGTGCACATACAAAGCAATACACAAAACTGTGTGCTCAGGTCAAACTAAAATAACCAACATAATACATGACCAACTGGTAACTGGTATAACCTGATTGTCCACTACATAATGAGACTTAAGTAGGCCTGTTTCATAAGTGGCAGTATGTATCTTACATGAGGAAGCAGTGTGCTGTCACTCTGTAGCAGGAGGACCCTCAGCTGGTCTTTGCTAAGCCCATGCAGGTTGCGCTCTCTTAGTACTGCTGAGTTGTGCTCTGACTCCAGGCTGTGGCCGTAGTTGCATCTTCGCCTATTTGGGGAGAACAGAATCACTTTATAGGGTTCCTTGTGTGTTCAGTGTCACAGCAAGCATGACATTTTCCTTCTTAAAGCAGCAACATTATCCTTCTTATTAAAACACTGAGAATGTCAAGAGTCAGTCAGACAACATGTAGGGTGACAACATATTACAGCTAATTCAGCAAACTGTACAAATGGTGGTTACATTTTTTCATTTGATTCCCTTTAGGTCAAGTGTCTTCATGAGCTCAGACAGAAAATGTTGAGATAAACATATTAAGCCACCTGTAGAAAATTTGAGAAGCATACAAATGTAATACGTTAATCAAAGTGTCCTGATGTGTTATAAAAATGTAACTAATAATAATATTAATGAAAAGAAGAAGAAGAGAAGAAGAATTCGTTTTATGTATGTCCTAGCAAGGTGAGGCTAAACCTTGAAAGCACAGATGTATATGGAGTGAATGGGTGGAGGTATGAGTCTATGTTTTTAGTGCATCATAAGCAAATGACTGATAAAGTAACAGACTACCGGATTACTGTTCACAGTGATACAGTCACAAAAACACCTCAGACTTATTTAAGCGAATGTCTCCATTTTAGCTCAATACTGACGTAAAATGGCTGCTAATTTCAAAACACAAAGGCAGAATGTAACCTTGCTCCTGTCTGTTGTGTGTGTGTGTGTGAGAGAGAGAGGACTCACCCTCTGCACTCTCCCAAAAGGTCGAATCTGCACAGGTGTAAATCTTTACAGGTTTTGTCACACTCTCTCGTTCTGCAGAGCTTAAGATTAGTTCGGACAATGACTTTTTTACAGTCGTCTCGCTGAATAACAGTGAAGTAGTCGCTGTTCCCGATGACAGTATGCAAATCCTCAGAGTCCGGCAGTGACATCGAGATGTCCACAAGACCGTCACCATCCACTGAACCGCTGCTGTCGCATATTATTTTAAGAACAGCCTCCAGCGCCATCATTACCCTCATCCAGCGATGTCCAGTGAAAGTGAGCAGTGTGTTCTGCGAGAAACACACACACAGGCCGACTAGCGCTGCCCCCTCACGCAACTTCAGCTTTGGTAAGGAAAACGAAACTTAACAGGGGCCTTTAAAGTGGTTGCCAAATCATTGCTGACTCCCCACTTCAGTGTTTTTTTCTCTGGTAAAACGTCAAAAGTAGTAAACGTTTGATATGAAGTTTCTGATATCAGTGTAGGGTTTAATTCTAATGAATGCCTTAAAACACAAGGTAGGCTCACTACAGCTTAGGATAAGGGCAAATAGTTGTACAATTTGGTGCCGTTTGCTTTAAATGAGAGGAATTTTAAAACGTTTTATTTGTGTTTATCTATAACACAGACAGGCTTATTAGCTCCAGTGTTTTAAAGGATCCACATACTGAAAAGCTGAATTTACCTCACTTTTTTTCTTTTGTTACAGTATAATGTAATATGTAAATACTGTTAAAGTCTCAAATAGTACCACTCACCCCAGTCCATAAGAACCAGAGAGAGGAAACAGACACTTTTTTAAATTTAATATATGTCCAGTGCATGCCTCCAGTCCACTTCAAATTTACACACGTCATTTTGCATTGTACTAAATATGAACAAAAATATGCAATATATTTTAATGCTGAACAAAATAAAAAAAAAATGTCGTTATAAAAGAGGTTGCCATTGGTTGAGAAGATATCACAAGTAGCAAAAAAGCTGCAGAGCGCTAGAAAAGTATCAGTATAACTGGTTGAATAATATGTAATCAGAAAGTTCATGGAACCACATATTATTGTCCATAGTCAGGCAAGATTTCTCTAGACTAATGATAACAAAGGTAAAAGAGAAGCCAACCGTCATTCAAAAATATTTGCAGGATGACCTGAAAGCAGCAAGAGCAACAGTTACAAAGAGAACAATAAGCAAAAAACCGCACTGCAATGATCTCTGGTCCTACACCCCTCGCCAAACTTAAAAAAGAAGCACAGATATGCATCTAAAATCTGCACATAAGCATTTAAACAAATCAGGACCCTTTTGGAACAATGTACTCTGGTCAGATGAAACAATAATAGTTCAGCTTGTCATGTTTAGATAAACAAGGGCTGGGCATATGATTCCAAGAACACCAAAGTGAAGTATGGTGGTGGGAGCATTGTGGTATGGACCTGCTTCTCTGCAAACATACTAGGGAATTACATATCATTAAAGGAAACATGAGTGGAGCAATGTACTGGGACATAAGAAGATAATTTAATCTATGAGCCAATAAAAGAGGACAGTTTCAACAAAACAACAACCCCAAACATACAGCCAAAATAACTCAACTGGTTTCTAAAGAAGGTGAATATGCTGAATTCCATTTAACATTTATCAAGTATTTTGAAATTGCGAGTCCAGCAGAGGGACCTTTGTTACTGTGGGCAACTGAATATGGTTTGCCAAGAGGGATGGGCCAAAACTGAACCACAATGCTGCAAAACAGCTAATGACTTCTTATTGCCACTATATGTACTAAGTTTATTACTTTGTGGTGTCTAAATACCTTTTTTCCACACCACTTTTAAACCTTCATGTTTATGCATATGAATATATACTTTTTGTTGATATTTGGAAGTCAAAAGATATTATGTGTGTGAATTTGAAGTACATATATGGACTGGAAGTTTATTAAATTAAAAAAAATGTGAATACTTGTTTCCCCTCACTGTAAACCAAGCTGTAAAAGCAGCCAGCAATGAATTCATTGTTCGTTGTTGTCACCAAAACCAACTCACATTCACCAGTCTAGCCTCTAGCAGTTTAAGACCACCCATCCAGGCTGAAATTAGAAGGAGCGTTTCAGTCTGGGCTGCTTTTTGCATGAGGTGTAATACAGGTCAGCCAATCAGAACAGAGATCATTAGTATATGTAAGTCTTATAGGCTAACAAAAACAGCCTATTTAACTGTAAGAGATGAAGAAAGGTTTGTATAAATTAATTATGGCTGTTTTTGTACACCAACCCACAGTAAAATTTTAAGCAGCACAAAATCAAAAATAGTAAACAAGTAACATAAAACACAAAAAGTAAGTTAGGGGCTTTTGAGTGAAGTTCGAAAGTCATTTCTAGCTGAAAGGACATACAAAATGATACGCTGTCAGGAATGTTCCTTACTATAAGCAGTGTAAGCATTTTCTTAGGGACCCTAAACTACAAAGTGCCCTCAAATATCTACCTAGCTATCTTGTCATTTATTTATTCATTACAAATTATAATTTTTTTGTTATTTATAAAGATATTTTCTTTCCATATGCAGGGTTGGGCAGAATGCTTTGAAAAATCGGCGATGGCTGAATTCTGAATACATCATCCTTAATGAATTCAGTGAAGTATTCCATTACAATGCACAAAGAACTAACATATTCAGAATACATTTAGAATACATGTTGATAAGGCACATTGGAAAAACCCTGCTGTCCTAACTTTTATTTAATTCACACTAATTCTTTTGTTCATATGTTTTATGACAAAATTCACTTTTTACAAGATTCTCGGCATTGTTTTGCATCTCACCACTTGCTTCAGTCCACTGCTGCTCCCATAATCCCACTGCCATCTCATGAACAAAGCAAACAATTCATTGTATCCCACTAACAAAATTTTGCACTGACCCATCACATTGATTTATCAGTCTACTCAGGCTTTAGTGTTTGGAAAGAAGTCGTTCTTATTCAGTATGTCTTATGTCTTCAGTATGGTGTTTCTCTTAAAGGTGGTATATATTTACATTACATTTGACAAGTAAGTGTTCTAAAAGTATTTCCTAAAAATGTTAAAAGTAACTGTATTCTAAATACTGCCTTTAAAAAAACTTCGATTTAATTTTTGTATTCTGAATACATATTCCCAATATTTATATTCAGTTACAACCCAACCCTGCCACATATGCATAGTTAAAAATGTTGCATCACATTTCCTTTAGCATTTATTAAAACCTTTTCCTGATTGAAATGAAAGAATTATTAATTCATTCTTGCATACAGAACAATGTGGTTGAAGTAAGTGGTGGGCCCTAAATAGGATGTCACTTAGTACCCCTTAATACTCAGAAACAGCCCTTCTCTGTGTATTCAATTCAGCTCTTTATTTTACAAAACAGTGTTTCAAGCAAAAAAAGCATCTTTCAAGAACTTGGTAATAGTGCAATTAGAACTTAAGGTCTTACATTTTGAGTTTATAATGTGTTATGCATATAACTATAACAGATTATGAACAGTTATGGGGTATGAATCATGTCAGCATGTCAAAAATGCATTTATACTGTGTATTATGTATTCAAGAAACACAGGTGTTTATAATGAATAATGAATAAAGCAGAAATGATCAAAGAGATGATACATAATACCAACACAAACACACTTTTACTTAATTAACGCTTAATTTGTTACACAAGTTGTTTGTGGAAACTGCACTGTGATGAGTTCAGGTAATGTTCAGTTTGAATAATAAGGCCTCGGTGATCAATAGTATGTAAATAAAGCCCTTCATGTAAACCTGAGTGTGCTGTTCAAAGGGCACTTTTATGACAGTGGCTTTTATTTTAGTGACAGTTCCTGAAGAGCGCACACAACAGCATCAACATTGTGATTTCAGAACAATATCTTGAAGTGTTTCAGCAGAGGTAATACATAGAGAAATATTGTATGCAACTGAAATAGTTTCATTTTAGATTTGACAACCAAGGTAAACTTTTGCTCATGTTTCACCTTTAACTGGATTGTCTTTGTTCTACCTTCAGCAGATAATGCAGGAGTTCTCAGATTTGGTACGTTTTTGTGTAGTAGGGGTAGTGTACGCATATGTGGGTGTGCTGTATGATGCTGCTGCAGGTGTGGCTCGGTATGTAGATGATGCTGCAGGTGTGGCTCGGTATGTAGATGATGCTGCAGGTGTGGCTCGGTATGTAGATGCTGTTGCAGGTGTGGCTCGATATGTAGATGATGCTGCAGGTGTGGGTCGGTATATAGATGCTGTTGCAGGTGTGGCTCGATATGTAGTAGCAGGTGTTGCTGCTCTAGTAACTGTGGCTGATGGAGCTGGCTGAGCATAAGCTGCTCTGTTTACTGCAGCAGAGTTCAGTGGGTGATGGTATGTTGGTGAACTAGAGTAAGTTGCCTCACTGTACTGAATCAGGTACTCAGGATAGATCTGATGCTTCTCAAACACCACAAATATGGACGGGTTGTGAAAGTTATCCACACAGCTGTCGTAGAAGATGGTGTCTCCTCCATCTTTGGAGGGAGGGCGAACATAGCTGGAGTTGCCAACAGTGTAGTCCCCTGCAAGAATCCGACAAACAAACATGCTTCGAGTTGTGGAGTCTCCAGTGTAGTTGTGGGAGTACTTCGCGTCCCTGGCAAAATAACTGCCTGTAACAAAAGAAATGGGACTCTTTTAATCCTTGGAACCCTTACAGTTTATTTGCTGAACGTTGTTTTTTTTTTCTCCCCAATATGTTTAATTCATCAAATTCAATACAAATCGAGCTAAGGTATGCAAACTCTTGCACTTGACTGTATAAATGAAAGATTCAGACCTCAAACAATGAGCAGTATATCGTTGCTGACTGAACAAAACCTTGTACCTTGAAAAAAGCAACTTTACAGGAGATTGTAAAAAAAGCTCTTAATTTTCAACACAAGCAAAAGTAAATTTTCACATAGTGGAAAGAGCAACCGACATTTCCAAATTAGGTAAAAAAAAAAAATATATAGTGACAAAAATGGAAATACAAGGTTTTGTTTTGACAGTGACTATGTACTAACTAAGGCCTGACCAATATGAAAATTCTGTGGCTGACACTAATTTTAGGGGGCTTATGTGTCCAATATCCGATCATATCGCCAATATAAGTTTGTATTTAACAACAGTTTTAGTTAAACATGACTGACATGACTGGCAGTTGCCAGCTGTGAACTGTCTGTTCGGAGTCATCACATTCTCTTAAGCTCTAGTAAACAGGAGAAGTTCACAGCTCTACAATAATATAAATACTGTAGCTGGGGGTGGAGCTACCCAGAATTCTTTTCTGTTAAATATATCTTATTTTTTCCGTCAGTGCAAAGGAAAAAAATAATGTTTTGGTTTGTGTTGTTATTCATATGCTAAAGATTTAGATGCATTTTACATGTTTTAGTAATTTTAACCATGGTGATGTTTTATGTTGAATTTCAGTCTGTACTGCTGTCACAGAGTTAAACAGTGGGTCTTATATACCTCTGAGTCACACAGTTTTTCCCTATATTGGTGAAATTATCGCTGATAATGTATTGATAACTTTTTTCGGCATTGTCAGGATTTGAACACGGCATCACTCGATGATGCTGCAAATTTTTACCAGTACATTATCAGTGATATTTTCACCAACACCAGAACCGCCATCGGTGTCGGTTGATATTACTGGCCAACTGATACATGAATCAGGGTCTATACTACTGTGTAAACTTCACAGTAAAAAGGAGCTAACTGGATGTAAACACATTATGACATTAGTGTGTTTGTTTATTTTTTTGTTTATTTATTTTTCCTTGTTTCTTATTGTTTACTTTTTGTTAATGCCAGAAAAAATCATTTTCATAGTCTTTTTTGAAAGCACTGCTGTTCCAACATGCTCATAAATCTCAGAAAAACAAAAGATGATTCATTTGAGTGTTTAAGTATTGTGGTGTTATATTTTTGTCATCTTGCCCACCCTAACAATGTATTGGATTAACTGACTGCATTTATTGGTGTATTATGGATTGAAGGTGATGGCTTATTGCCAGATATTGTTCCCCTTACTATTTTTGCCTCACTTTTGTAAACATAATAGCTGTAAAGAATAAATAATCATTTAATGCATATTGTCATGCTGCAATTTATAACACCTGTATGCTATATCACTTAATGATCCTGAAAAGAGAACGCTTCACTACCACCAAAATCCTAAAAATATAAATATATATTTCAACAAATGACCTTTCCCGTAGGCTGTGCCATGAGTGCCACAGATTCTCCAGTCAAAGTTATGGTGGCAGATGGCATCTATGTGTTTGGGGTCTGTTCCATGAAACAGCTTTTTCTCTGTAACAATCCCCCCTGCTTTATTCTTCTTCATGACGTCCTTCTGCCTGTAAGAACAATCCAAATTGAGAGAGATGCAAAATGCTGGAATGAGCATTTTTTCCATGGCAATAGCTTTGCAAGCAAGATCTTAACTTATCGTAATAAGGATTATTTGCATGCAGCATTCCATTATACGTTCGACAAACTTCAAGTAATGCGATTATAATGCTACATATTGTGATTGCGATACACCTTGCAATACATCAAAGGGCCGACTATATTTTTCTTGCATTGTATTTTTACCCCAGTTCTCCACTCCACTTATAAAATTTGTGTGATTTTATGCACCAAAATGGTCATAATTATTTTTTTCATGACCACTTTCCAACCTCTCACTTAATAATAAAGCTGTGCCTCATTTAAAAAGCAGTGCAGCCTGAAACACTCCTTATACCATCAAAGTGACTGGGCAAAGCTATACTGCTCTGAAAAGGTGAATATATGTGAACACTGAAGTCCAAACAGGCTGTAACTTGCAACTTGGTTTCCATATATGGACTTTGTAGATAATGTTAAAGACTTGCCTGCATTAATTCAACTAAAATAGCTTTCTTTTGTTGGATTATACAAACACTTTGATTCATCAAAATGCCAAAAGAAAGCAATGCACATAGTAAAACACTGTGACTGGTTATAGGGCTCATTTGCATATTTTAGTAATCTGTGATATTAGTACTGCAATTAGTAGGGCTGAGATTGCGATAACGATTAACAAACCATATCATGCAGGCCTATCACAGAGCATGGGAACGTACCACTGAAACACTTCCCAGAGGGCTTTGTTTTGAATTCTCTCTATCTGCTGAATGCTGAAACCGTGCATAGTGGCACTGAACAGGTTCTGGATCTCCTTGTATTCTGCAGATGTGCTCTGGAGCTGTACTCTCTGTTTGAAGACAGAACAATAATGAGCTTTCTTTCTCAAATAATGACAGTACAGTGGATTGCAAAGGCACTAGTATGATGTAAACTTTACAAATGGAGGTATACAGGTTTTTTTTTTTACATGGAGACTTCTGAGAGTAACTAAGACATGGTAAACATAAAATACTATAGAATGAAAAAAACAAACTAAAATATGGGCATATTGTTGCATGTGAATATAACACTAAATCACCTTGTAACCAGTTTCGGGTGTCAGTGCCTTATCCCAGTGACTTGGTAGAGTTTTAAAACTGATCTGCCTTTTGCTGAGAAAAAAAAAAACAGCATGTTTACCAGTGTTTTGCATCACAAATGCTCTTTAAAATGTCAAAGCCTTCTCTTCTTACCTCGTTCTGATTGTTTGTGCATCTGCTGTAGACACAAATTCAGGTCGACGCCTTACCAGCTTTTTGGTCCCATAGCGCTTGTTTGTCTGTATCATATCTGAAGTGGAAGATACTTCATGTTACATAAGTGTATCAACTATTATTAGATGTTGTGTTTAGTGATGCACTGAAAATTCTTGCCTGAAACATAAATTCAGGACACACTGGGCCAAAACCAAAATCGAAAGTTAGCATAGTTTATGCTTAGAAGGAGAAAATTACTGTGTTGGGAAAGGGAACTGAGATAACTAGAGGACTCTTATTATTTTCAACAAATAATATTAAGATAATAATAGTATTTACATAAATAACACTAAATACAAACCCTATTCCAAAGAAGTTGGGACAGTAGAAAGTCAATAAAAGTAGACATAAGAAAGTCAATAAAAAAGAAGCAATGATTGAGAATGCCCAAAGGTATCTACAGTTATCATATTGGAGTGACTCTGATGGAAAACACCTCATTTTTTAATTTGTAAAGCACACGGATGTGGCTTTGGACCTCCTGCCTAGCAGTCTGAAGTTTCTCCAGCTATTAGCATGTAAGTCGCTTTAGTGTTTGTGATTCAAAGTAGAAACAGCCATAAAACTCAGCAGGATCTAATGAACGCATATTTGCAGACCTAACCACAGTAAAAACAAGGCCCTGTTAAATGCAGCTGCAGTGGACCATGATAGAGCGTTTTAGTATTTATCTGCTGCTGCTCAACCTGTTTAAATGCATCTCGTCTGCAGTGAAGGAAACAACAATGTTTTTAATCACAATTTCTCAATTTCATTACAATTCAAAGTACTTCTTAATGTTAGAGTTTAACACTTCATTTTCGGCCAAAACGTTCTGTCTTGCTTCTCTTTGGGCCAAAAACAAAAGTGCCACTTTTGACCATTTTCAGATGAAAATTTCCAGTGGCCAAAATGTCTCTAAAAACATGTCTCAGCTCTTGTTCATCAGGCAAAAGAGGCTGCTACAAACAGCCCCAGGGAAAATGGCTTCAGAGAAGGCAAAGAGGCTAAGCTAAGCTAAGCTGAGCAGCCACAAACTCTCAGATCGTAAAGTTTGTGTAACATTCACAATTCTGTTCTCTCTTACTAGATTACCACAGTTTTGTGGCTAAATTAAAGATAACAATAATCTACAACCATAGCTTTTACTGAACTGAGCTTTATTATGTTCTTTCATTTAACAAAGATTAAGACTCAGCTCACATGCTATCACACGTGTTTTCCCCTGTGTCCACTTCAGTGTGATGAACCAGTAAAGCAAAGGAAACCACTTAACTGTTTACCGCATTATCCACACTGTTACCCGAATAACAGAACTCTGTTACCCGCAGGCCTACATTAACACATCTTATCCAGCCAATTAAAGATTTCATTAGCTGGAGTAGGTATGTCAGATTGTGGTTAAAACCAGACCAACCAAAAAAGCTGATCTCCAGGACCAGGGTTGGTGACCTCTGTTGTGCATGTTAATTCACTGTAAAGAGCATTTAAATTCAGATAAATGATTAGTGGTACCTTGGAAGCTGATTATATAGGATTGTGAGCCAGCAGTGAACTCCACAACTGCTTTGTTGTCCTGTGTAAATTTCTGTTCCAGTTCTTCACTGGTGATAGAAGCTGTGTTGTGGCCTCCACTCTGAAAGACAAAGATATGACAGAGCACATCAACCCACAACAATTGCTATCTCTCTCTACTTCTAGAATTGCTAGACAGAAGTAAACGTCAGGATCATCATCTTCAACTACAGTAATCCTCCCCATTCCCAGCAAAATTAATGTTTGTTTAATAAAATACTAAGAAACATGATCCAGTTAGCATATCCATAGCCCACCTACATCACCCACTTTTATTACTTACTGCAGATGCATACTGGATCCAGTTGCCATACTCATCCTCCCAGTACCAGGTCCAGGTGGTAGTGAGGATGAAGTTAGGTTGGACCACTGAGGACAGCGTAGAGAGACGCCGCACAGAGTTAGATCCATGGGTCATCGTATCGAAATACACTGGATCAAAGCCAGAGCTTTAACAGACAATAGATTTAAAGGTCAAAACAGTTTACCTGACTATCTTCACATGGTTTTGGTCTCTAATGTTGTTTACAGTTTTAATGCAGAGCCGAAAAAGCATCCTTTTCTGCCTTTTCATTTACTCCTCTCTTTGAATAATACGATTTCTCAATGTTGTTGCCACATTTATGTTGATAAATAAAGATGATGATTCAGGAAAGCTGAAAATGTGTTTTTGTGCCACAAACTACAACTTTGAACAAGAAAACAAATGCATACCAATGTACTTTACACTTCATTTGCTTTAAGAAACTATCTGAGTGTATCCAACAATAAAGGCAGCATCAGGTTTCTTTTCTATAGTGATGGAAATCATGCTAGCACACAGAAAGCTCAAATTCCACATGCTGACATACAGTATTTTACAGTGCAATTAACAGTCCAACGTAAAGCATCCTACCTGTATGTCTTAGCTGGGTTACAGTAATCTTTCTCTATCGCCTCATTATTAGGAAGAGCTACCCACGCAGCTCCGTTTTTAACCTCCCATTTATAGGGAAGTTTAGAGTGCTCTTTCATACACCTATCTGCAGGAAAGAAAGTTACAGGAAAGAAAACAGTGTGATCTATTCAACTCTGTGTTTCGAAGAGGTTCAATTATTGATCAATGTTTAAGGATCTTGCTTTCTAGTACAAACTGTGTTTACATTATATTCGGGACACTCATTACATTAATTATCGTAATAAGCAGCATCATCAGGATAACACACACAGACACACACACACACATAAAAATGTTTCTCGTCTTACCACCATTTTTGCAGCTTCCCTTGACAAAGTACATGCAGATTTCAGTTTTTTCTGAAGGAACAAAACAATTTTTCAATCAATAAAATTAAATTTGAATTGTGTTTAGGTCAGGCAGGTTTACTGCTGGAATTCCTGTTTCTCCCTTTCCCAAATGAAAATGAAGAGAGCCCATTAAAATGGACAGCCTATTATAACAACATCAAAAGGCATACGTGGTTCACTAAATATATCTGATTTAGAATATCCTCGAATTAAAGCTGACATTCTGAACTTCAACTTTATGGGTACTGTTTCATTTACAGTCATATGCAAAGGTGTGGGTACCACAGTGAAATAACATGTTTTGTTGATTTTATAAGTAAAAACAAGTTAATACAGAGAACACACTTCTGCACATTTTTAAGCACAATTACTGTTTATCTGCTAAACTTATTATAATAGGGAAAACATAAAGCATCAAATCTGGCCTGTAAAAACGTTATGGCACATAACTTTTTTCTCAGAACACAACCAGCAATCAGCTGATTTATTTTTGTAATTCTGGCAGATCTGTGTTGCTTTTTTTATGATGCAAATTACAAGAGTCAGGCAAGTGCACTCGCGCTGTATTCAAATGCTGCTGTTACACCTCTACCAAAATGTTGCAGCATAATTATGCATGACTCATTGTGCTAAAAAGACATTCACCTCTAACTTTGAATGTAGCACTTTTTTGAAATGAGCAACTACTTTTTCTTTTAAGAACTGAATGACTCGTTAAACAGAGATTACCGGGGAAAAAGTGAGATTACAGGGGAAAAATCTTTTGAATGATTAAGATCTAAAGATACTTAATATGGTCACGAACAAGGTAAAAAAAGGTCCATTTTGATTTCAGATTGACTTCAATTTCAGCTTGTAATGCAGTTTACTAACTATCATCTCATCCAAATTCAATATATAATACAATTAACACAACAAACATAGACTAAGACTTTATCCTATATTATGCTCAATCATGCTGAAGAGTTATAGTTGACTTAATTTCTTAAGCCCAAGCAACAAATAATTTCTTGCTGTTCCCAAAATATTTGAAATACTTAAAATACCCTTTGGTCTTCTATTTCATAATGTTAAAATATACATTGTTTAAGTCATGATTGAATATAAAATATTACACATTATTAATATGACAAGTGATTCTAAATTTTTGATAATAATAAGCCCATCTCACATTAAGATTTGAATGTCAGCGATAAAGCTGTGATCAACACTCAATTCTAAGAAATGGACTGTAACTTTACCTGCTGATGAATGAGGAGCTCTGGAGCTTGAGCTTGCACCCTGCCCTGTGCTAATATTAGTAATATTAATATTAGCTGATGTCTGCTGTGGTGGTTTGAAGCGTTTGTTGGCTCTTGGGCCATTCTCCTGAGGCAATCTGACTTTGGCTTGGTGCCTTAAGGCCTCAATGTTTGTGTAGATGGCTTTCATAGACCCCAGGAGCTCATGAGGGACGCCCCTCTCCTGCAGCGTTCTCAGCGGGTGGGGTTCATAGAAATCGTGTGCCCGCGGACACTGGCAAGGCCCCCTGAGGTACTTCTCACAGATGTGCAGCCTCTTACAGTTCTCTCCATCCTGGCATCGCCCATACGGACCTGCACCATTGTTGTAGGAATGGCACACCTGATGGAGAAACAAAGCGTTTCAGTAAAGAATCTGTTGTTCATCTTCAGCCAATGATAAATGACATCAAACACTAATCAGGGCAATTAATCACTAGCCTCTCATAGTTACTGGTATAAAACAACATAGTATCTCAAAAATAGGCCTTTAAAGAAAAAGTTCAGATTTTTTTTGAGTCTTATTCTTTCTTTTGAAGCTTGTGTTCAGACTAGATTTGATCTGCTTATCAAAGGCTCTTGTCACTGTTGGTGAGCTCAGCTCCAGTGCACGCTGTCAAAAGTAGGACAAACATTAAGGAGCTCTGAAATTCATATAAATGTCTCAAACACTGTTCACTCAAATTGTGGTGCTAATAATATAATTTGTAATAAAACATTTTGTATTAAGATGCAATAAAGAAGCATTTTCAGTAGTCTCAGACCATGGTAGGTGGAGTCATGGATGCATTTACACATTTTTTTAGACCAAGTAAAAGGACATAATGTTTAGTACTCGCCGATAGCGAGTCTGATATCATACTGATTAACCAACCTACAATTAAGCAGTTGTTAGTGTAAATGAGTGCAATGTACCTTAACAGTTAAATCTTTAACATCTAGCTGGTTTAAATGAAGTGCAATAGCTAGCTATGCTATATTATTTAACCCCCCAGGCTCATTACATACTAAGGCTTATTATTCAGTAACTACAGGGACTTCAGTGCAAACTGGCTGAGCTACTCTTACAGCAGTTACAGAAGTGTGTAATAAAACTTTGGGCTCACCGTGAGCCCTGGCCATCTGTACAGCTGTAGTTTTGCTCCTCATCTATGTCTTTCAACATTTTATATACTCACACAGTACAAAAACGCTCCGTCCGATTGACATGCTCTGCAAAGCGCAGCCTCTACAGACAGCTCTGTCTACAGACATCAAATCAAGCGGTTTCGTTCTAAATAACAGGCTGAGCACTTGTCTCGCTTGTCTGAGTCTTCACCTGTTTTGGGGAAGACGATGTGATATGAAATGTCTGGTGGGAATATATACCAAAGCGGAATGTATAAAGTGGCAGATGGCTTTGTGTCTCACTGTCACAGCGTCAGTAACACTTCTCGTTTGTTCATTAATGTGGAAGTGCACACTTGGCTTATGTCACATCAGCAGGTATCAGAATGTTGGTATTGGTGAATTTTATGAGTATGAGCAAATACGCATGGCCAGTATTAGTATCGATGCATTAAAAATTAATCAAAAAGTAACTACCTGTTGCTGGGGCTTTTCTTTAAAATTCAATAATTCAATTAAATTATTCAATAATTAAATTATTAAAAAATTAAAGGTCAAACAACTTCTTAAGTGTTACTTAAAAACATATTGTTGCCCAAAAAAACCCTAATTTTTTGATGTAATTTGAAAATATTAGCTGCCTTTAGCATTGTGAGTTTAAATTTAATGATGAATGGACCAACAGAAATGATCCAGAATTGGTTAATATACAATCTCTTTAACTTACAAAGTTAAACACGTTTTTTTTTCTCCTCCCGTAAAGTTACCAATTTGGAGATACAAGGCTTTAGTCTTTCTTAGTTTGACCCTTCAAAACATCTGCAGTAATGCAGGCTGCAGCCCAGCTGCTCCCACACTGTATGGTCTTATGATTGATTGATTGTGGCCCTCTTATATAGCTTTTACGTTTCATTGATGGCTCTCTTGATAAAACCAGTTACTTCCACCTACTACAATGGTGTGAATTTATTTATCATTGAAGTTCACCTAGTCTGAAGATTCATTTACTACTGCCTGTATGTTGCTCATTGATTGCAACATGCAGACACTGTTGCTCTCACTAGACAGGGTTCAGTTCAGAAAAACCCTGTTTACACAATGAAAATACAATGTTATTGAATTACTGAGGGTAATAAATACATTCTGAAGCTTTTTTTTCCCCACTTGTATAGCTATAACAAAATTCACTGCTTAATAAGTGGGTTAAAGCATCTTAAATGTCTTAAATGTGCAATGTAAATATAACCCTAATTGGTGCAGAGAGTGTCCAGTGTGACGCTCACTCTACTCATTTAAGCAACCTTCTTTGTGCTATGATGCTTTCAGAAAACCCAGCCCTAGTCAGCTGTCCAGGAAGTGCATCTCACGCAGCATGGGTGTAATTATGAAAGCAGTAAAATGAAGTGGTATGATGATTACAGCAGGTAGGAGACTGTTGTCACTCTGAAGCAGAAGGAAACAGAGCTCTCTCCTGTCCAGCAGGCTCAATCCATGACTGTGCAGGACTCTGACATTCTGTGCCGTGTTCAAGTCATGGGAAAAACGACATCCTCGTCTGCAGGGGCAAAAGAAGTTACTTTTAGGGTCTGATGGAGATATTCAGCAATTAAGCCTTAAGCTGAAGAAAACAGAATACTGCTGTATGAGTTAAACAAAACACACGATGGGCAAACATTTCACTTGGACAAATGATTTTGAAAGTAATAAAATAGAATAAACAGCATTTCCTCAAACAGAAACATGGACAATGCTAACTTGTCTAAATGTGACTAAATTAAAAGAGAACTCCATGGTATGACCAGCAAGGGGGTCCGGTCACTCTGTTATGCTACTGAGGATAATACAATGGTTATCGTAATTTTTTAATTGAGAAAACACATTTGTGGGTTTCTTTGGCCGCTTGTGCAGCCATCTGGCCGGCTCTTTTTTTCTCATAATATCCGTCTGGAGTGTGCATCTGTAAAATCTTCATTTGAAGGGTCATGTAGGCCTAACACATCACCCTACCACTCTATCTCAACAAAAATTGGGACACTCTACCCCTAGGCATGAACGCACAAAACAGAAGGGGTCAAAGCTAAGTGGTAGTGGCAAGGGGTGAAATGGGATTGGGCCTGTATTCAACTCATGAAAGCTTTTCTAATTAGCTAATGAGTTTAATCAGGTGTGTTTAATGGGTCAGAAAGCTGCAGAGCTGTTGCCTGGAGGGAACTCAGTTTGACACCTCTTTTTTAATCTGTTGAGACTGACAGACACTGCTAAAACAAAACATGGCAAATAAAAAAAAAGGCTTAAAAACAAATATATAAAACACCCGCATACCAGAACTCATTAAACACACAAGATTCAACCAATCAGCTAATTAGCACAGCCTTCATGAGTTGAATTTAGAGTGTTAGAAGAGGGAAAATGACCATCTCTGCAGAGTGTTGGCCAGAATGAACCCAGTTTGATACTCCTGCTGTAAGAGATGTGTAGTTCCTGGAAAAATCACTTGAGGAAGTACTGCTTGTTTATAGTACTTTCACAACAGCCAAGCAACCACACCCTTAATAGGTTCCTATTAGGGTTTTTTGTTGTCATACAATTTTTTGATTTCCCTTTCATGCACATGTTTAATGCAGAGTAGGTGAGCTCTGATTGGTCAGATCACCCGCTCTGTTCTGACTGGTCAACTGCCACAACGGTTCCGCCCCTGTCTTGCAGTCTGCAGACCCCTGCAGATCCTTCTCTCCTGAACAGCTGTAAACAACGGTGTAGCTATGTTTTCAATGGCGTTGGTTCTGCTCTACGCGTTTGAGTCTGATCCTGATGGTCTGGTCAGTGTCCTCTCCACACAGCTACAAAACTGAACAAACTCCTCCCGGCCTCCAGTAGTTGCTGTGCGTTGTGTGAGGGTGTGCCGACAGGCGGGCAATAAAAATTGTGTTATGAGATTGCGTCATCTTGTAACAAAGAAAAAGGGCTGGAATTCCAATGAAGCGTTTCAGGCAGCTGTGAAAAGTGGTTTCTGTGGGAGAGAGTTACTCCCTCTGGCAAGTACTTCGAGCTTTACAACTCTGCAGATTGTTTAATACACAAAAGCTACATAATACACTGAGGAAAAGGGAAAAAACGGAAAAGCACAATTGGCCCCCTTTAAGCTTGCAGGCTGAATAAACATTGAAGCCGCAGACAGTGAACTTCAGCTGAGCCTCACGTGACAGCTAGTGCTATCTCACAGATGGAGTTGGCATTATGACCAAATTTTATATTTATATTCGTGGTATTTATCGTTATCATGGTAAATCATGTCACACTACTCTTTTCTGAGCATATTGTGGATCACCAGTACTTAAAGAACACTGACTAACTACATGTTTCATTACACAGTGAGCATTATTAGGCCTGTTTACCTGGATTCAGTGCAGTGCAGACTGTAAATCACTGAATAAACACAATGAAATGAAATGAACCTTTTTTTAGCCAACTGTGTCTGAACACATCGGAACTAGAGCTCCGCATTTAACCCATCCGTGCAGTGAAACACCCACATACATGCACACTAGTGAACACACACACACTAGGGGGCAGTGAGCACACTTGCCCAGAGTGGTGGGCAGCCCTATCTACAGTGCCCAGGGAGAAATTGGGGGTTAGGTGCCTTGCTCAAGGGTACTTCAGTCACGTACTGTCAGCTGAGGGCATCGGACCGGCGACCTTCCGGTCACAAGGCTGGTTCCCTAACCTCCAGCCCATGACTGTTTAAAAATGCCACTAGAGGTTCTATTTTGTCTACTCCGACTTATTAAATCTCGGAAAGGCTAAACATCGCGACGCCTGTCGTGTATCGTAAAAAGGTATTTAAGTATCGTGATATTATATTGAAGAAAGGCACAGCTGATGAACAAGGTGTGCTTTATTAGAGGGCTGTAGCTGGTCACAGTCACTCTTTGTCTGACGCTGTCAGCACTTCCTAATCTAACAGAACACAGTCAGCGAGCCTCGCCTTCATAGTCAGAGTCTTTACAGAACAGCCCAGCGAACAGGCTGCAGAACTGACACCAAAGACTAACACACCGAACACTGAGAACACGCTGCCTCTCCGGCTCTCGCGGCTCTCTTACCTTCCTCTGCCGTACTGACAGTCACCCAACAGGAAGAATTTACAGAGATGTAAATTCGAGCAGCCGTTGCAGTTCTTCGCCCGGCACAGTTTAATTGGGCTTTTGGCGATGACGGTTTTCTGTTCGTTCAGGAAAACAATGACGAAAGACTCGCTGTCCTCTATAAGGCTCTCCACTCCGCCGAACTGAGAGAGCAGCTCCTCGTAGCCTATAGCTCCGTTTCGAGCACATATTAACTTCATACACATCGACTCCGTCATGTTGGAAGCTGCATTAGGTCTGACTGCTCCAGCTCCCAGATTAGACCCCGGTCTGCTCGGCACTTCTGACGAAAGGAAAACGAAACTAACAACCGGATTGACGAAGGAAAACAGCGGCGGTGGTTGCCATGTTGGGAAAAATCCCGATTTCAGGGAAAAACAGATTTTTTTTTTGTTGTTGTTTTTAATTTATAATGTACCATTTGTTTTTTTGCATTCATCTGGCAGAAGTATAATGCTCGAGGATCAATAGTCAAAGTCAAATAGGATCACAATATTAAGCAATATTAAAATGTTCCGTGTTTATTCTTGTAAACTAGTCAAAACGTTGTACAGACTTTCACGGAGACTCTGTCATGCTTTTTGGTACACAACATGTTAAACATACGGCCGTTACCTGAAATGTAATGTTCATTTTCTTTCCTTTTATTTATTTATTTATTTATTTATTTAAATATTCTGTTACATGCAGTTTGCACATGCAATACCAGCTGGAACCAGCAGATGGCGCGAATAATCAAACGCCTGGTCAATAACCTTGGACTACAGCTCAGTAAACAAAGCACACGTTGACTGTTGACCATTACACCATGAATAAAGTTCAGTCATTAATTTGCACAGTAGGCTTGTTCGCTACTTTAGCTTTTAAACAATATATATAGGACAGATATGCCTTCTGTAGCTGTGTGAGCTACACAGGCAAACAGAGTGCACTCAAAGTACTCAACTTTGTTCAGCTCACATCCTCAAAAAGTGGTTTAAAATGATTCTGCAGAGCACCAAACAGGATTCCACTGTTGTAAGAAGTCATAGAACTTTTTTGTGACTTTTTTATAGAACACTTTGTACTAAAAGCCACCATGAGAGACAGCAGCAGAGATGGGCTGGTTAAGGAGTGACCTGAGTGACTGTCCTCAAACTGTAACTGTGATTATTCATTAAAAATGAGTGAGACATATTGGCAACATGATACACTACTTAAGGATGACATTTGGATGAAATAAAATCTGTCATCAAAAATTGCTTAATTTGAATGTGACCTGTGTTTTAACTGAAATACTTAAGGAAAGGTTAAACATCAGTAACAAAAACAGGACGGGCCAAGGCATCACAGGAGTGGGGTGGACAGTGAGAGACTCAGTTAATGTACATCTGCTTTTGACAATGAATTATAATTTTAAACATTCTATCAAATGTATCCTATCAATAGGAAATGTGTTGCCATTGTATACTTTATGACTATCATAGAATTATTTATAAAATGTTATTGAGACGACTGAATTGTCTGGACATACATTTGCCCCCCTGTGTAACATGGTGCTCCACTGAGTTGACACTTTAGGCCAAAATTACCTAATGTGTCCCAAGCTGTTGTTACTAGACAAATGACATTTAAAGACAGTTTAGAAATTTATTTTGAAATTATTTATATTTCAACATGCTATACAGTGAACCCATAATGCTGAAAATTTAAGGGCATGATGGCTAGACTGGCTAGAATTGCATTTTTCACAATGCAATTTATTTATTACCAAGTAAATTATACAATGGCCTGCTGATGTTATCTTTCAGTGGTAATGACACTGTAACAGGGTGGACAATGGACTTAAGAGCGTGCAGGAAATGATCAATATTACCTATTATATAATATTATATTCTATAAACTTATATAACAGTTTTAATACTAATACATTGCATAGTAAATATTTAACGTTTTTAATGTAAATTGGGTATAATGTATATAATTTATGTGAATAATCAATAAAAATTAAACAATAATTTATATGATATCATAGCAAACCATCTCAAGGACATGAAAGTGCGTGTTAACTGATCTACTTACATTACTCACATGGTGTGTTCCAGCTGTTTCAAACAGTGTCAGGGGTGCAAAAATGCCCCCAAAATTAATCAAATCACAAGGACAAAAACATAAAATACAATGAACTTCTAAATGTAATAAAGTGGTGTGAATGAATCGCAATAAAAAAGCACTAATGACAGCATAAATGTGCTCATCCAGAGATAAAACATTAAAATATTGTTTTAAATATTGTATTTGTTTCTAAACACTCCTGAATCTCAGTGAGTGTCAGTGAGGGCAAAAATCAGCTCGTAGAAGCTCTAGAAGATTTCCTGCCCTGGTTACAAGTGTTGTGGACTGATGGATCCTAAAAGCAACAATAAGTCATAACATCATTTAAACATCTTTTAAAAAATGTAGGTGTATTTTAAAGAACCATCAGTTGGAAGGCTCTTTAGGACAGCAGTCCTCAAAACAGTCCTCAGAGACCCCAAGACAGTCTATATTTTTGCAGTATGCCCATGTGTTGGAAAGTGTGGACTGCCCCCCCTCCCCCCCAGTGGCCAATGGTGGTACTGCTAGGTACGCCAAACCCTTCACTCCAAGATAAAGACATTTAACTAAACTAGTATTTTTATGTAACAGTGTTCTTGTGATCATGTGAAACGTTTCTGTTTTCAATCATCCATCATGGATACAGAGCTGCAGAATACTACTGGTTTTTACAGTTGTTTTTGGCCTGCTCAGAGCCCAGATTTAAACCTTATATAGAATATTTGGTCTCGCGTTAAACACAAACTAGCTTGGCAATGGTTTTCAACTGTTTGAAGCCATCAATGCTGAGTGGAGCAATATTGACTGTACTTTCTGTAAAAGGCTGTCTGCAAGTTTACACAGACTTTAACACTTAAAGAAATCAAAAGAATTAAACGCTCTCCCATACTAAGTTACTTTACATTTTTTGTAATGATTTGTTGTTAAGACCATTAAAAGTTTAATGTTTCACCATTTTAGGCTTGGATCTTTTTTTGCATAGGAGTGTATAGTCAAGAAAAATCTGAAAAGCTTCGGGCTGTGAAAGCTTTCAATGTTGGCTGTGCGGGCCGTGAGTTGTGAAAGGTTGGGGAGCCTTGCCTTAGGTTAAGAAAACAATCCAGTCAACAACAACTGAACAACACCACCAACAGAATGTAAAGCATGAAGGCCCAAGTTTAGGCTGTTTCCTCATCAGGAGACAAATGATTATATCAAGTACAGAATTTGCTAAAAAAATGAAGCATATCTGCAATCGCTCTTGGACTTTCAGAAAAAGGAACAAAACTGTCACTGGGTGGTATCCCTGTTGTCACTGGGGTTAGGGACAATAATTGTGGACCATAGGGACTATAATTATGCTGTTATCCTTGGCAGTTATCATTTTAAACTGTATTGACTCCACACATCCCGTCTCATCTCCAGCCTTTTTACTTTATTGTTTTGTTTTAATACATTAGGTTGTGAAAAGGTACAAATATGTACTTTCCCCTGGGAAAAAACTTGACGAATGAAAAATTTACCTGCACAGAACCTTTATTTCTGGCAGTGTGTTAAGTTCACAGAGGTAGATAAATGATGATTGGCTCTTGGTTTTAATTTAAATATTAAAAGTTAAAGGTAAATGTTTTATCAATAAAATAGAAGTTTTCTTCATTTAGTGGTGGGCTCCGGTGGTCTGTGGTCCTCACACAAGATAAATTACTATAGTTGTGAGTTTGGTAAATAAATTAACATGTGCAGCAACTTAAGTGACTGGCAAGAGGAAAAAAAAAGAAAATCTCCTAGCCTTTGAGATCTCTAATGAGTACTTTGAAAGCCTAAATAAAAATGTAAGGAGTAAAAAGTATATTTTCTCTGGAAAATGCATTTGAGAAAAGGTATTGAATTGCAATAATACTCAAGAATCTCTCCAATAACACTTGCACTTACAATTTTCAAGAACAATAACTCAAGTACAATAAGTCCTGTTCATGTGACTGACCAACAGAGCCGTTTCCTGCACATTACACATTTTTGCTTGGACCCCTCCTGAACTGTCACCACTAGAGGGCACCACGTACAAACTTTTAAAAATATACATATACATTTTTGACAAATCTACATGGAACAGCAAAGAGCAAGTTTAGGAAAGTACTCAAATACTTTTTTAGTGATGTAATAAAGCCTACAAAGAGTTCTTATCTGTCCCTCTTACAGTCTAAATGTTTGGTGTACTTATTTCTTGTAATAAATAAATGTTATGCTATCGTTTGAAAGCATATTCAGAAGAGAATGAAGATCTATTTCACAACATTCAGATTGCAGTATTATTTTCTTAGCTTTATAAAGAAAGCATGCAGTTCTACAATATTTAAAATGATTCATTAAAAACTATACAAAAATACTCTAAGAAAACTGAAGTTGAAGAATCTCTGCTGAAAATACAGCTTCACCAGCTCAAGATAGTTAAGTTGGTTGAATAGAATAGTGTATGTTTTTGTTTGATTTTTGTGGTTTAGCTGATTGACCAGACTGACCAGCATAACCACCAGCATGACCAAGCTGGTTGACCAGCATAACCAGCATGCATGACCAAGCTTGTCAACCAGAAGGACCAAGCTGGTTGATTAACTAGGTCACACTGATCATGCTGGAAGACAAGCTAAACCATCAAACTCAAATGAAAACATATCCTATGCTGGTCAATCCCTTAAGTTAACTGGCTGGTTGATTATTATAGGGTATGTTTTCTTTTACATTCTTCAAAAAGATGTTTTCTGAGATTTTAAAATATACTGCATATCACTCTTCCTCCTTGCATCCTCTCTGTCAATTACGAAACTAAAGATGTGCTGCATGGAAATGCAAAAATTAAGCAAATGCTTAAAGCAGCAAAACCCAAAAAGGTCACAAATGTTCAACATTTTCAGTCCAGATTTTCAGTCTGATTCACCTCACCAGAATAGCATCGTTTCTAAACATAGACTGTAATCTTTCCACATTCATGTGACACATGAAATATTTGTTTGAAATCTGACACACATTCTTCAGATGCTTCTGGTTTTCTCAAGCTGAAACTCTTAAACTCAGTACAACTGAACACCACAATTTTGTGATTAAATGACTTAAAAGTGTGATGGAAAAAACACTCAGAAAAAAAAGGTAGTAAACTGTCACTGGGGTGGTACCCTCAAGGGTACATCTCAGTGCCTTTAGTCAGGCAACATAATTGTAGCACAAATCATTGAAATTATATTTTCTAAGT